TCACAGGATACATTGCAAAAGTATAGAAGACTATCACAACACAACAATGATTCACGATGCAGGCGACTTCTACTCTATCTTGCCCACGACAATCAGACCTCGCAGAATACAGCCAGGAAAGAAGACGATTCTGGTCTCAGTTCTGCTCTCCTTCATGCTCTTGATGTCACAGCTGCTGCGAGCTCTGCAGCTGGATCAGCCTCCCAGGCTTTCAAATGTTCACATTATGAATGTAAGTTTAGCTTTAACATTGACGTGATTAGTTGATCTCCGTATTATTCTGTTATTTATTGTTATTATTTTTAATTTTCACAAGAAATGCCATAGATAAAAAGGGTTTCAGAAACATGGTGTTATATCGTACACTGAAACTATACCATTTTATTTTCATAAGATGTGATTATATTTATTTCTGAATTATTGTGAACAGAGTTCTTTATGACAAATATTAATAAGGAAAAAATAAGAGTGAGTAAGTTCACAAAGCAAGATAAGAGAACACACAGCTTTTATAAAAGTAACATAAAACATATCATCAAAATTCATATATTAAGTTTTATTTTATTGATTACAGTAATTCCATCTTTGCATATGAAGTCAAAAGGAATATTGATCAATCAAACTGTATGCCATACTGAAATTCTTGTATAATTTTTTTTCAAGTGCGAGTAAGAGCATTACCATGTTTTTCTAAAAAGGAAACACACTACAAACCTATTAAAATCTAATTACAGTCACTAACAAGCCTGAATGAAGAGGTTGAAGTTCCAACATGCATCAACACAGAGCTGGGTTCAGAGGACCATCATCACGGCTCTAACCCTCAGGCTTGCCACCATCTACCTGCTCCGAGGGGCCTCTGCTCTCTCACTCAAGCTTTGTTCTTCAGTAATAAGCCTCAGAGCTGTAAAGAACAATCCAGTATAACATTTTGTAGATTGGTAAGTAATTATGAGGTATACTTTCTTCCTTCAGTATTAGAACCCATGGCACTATTTTGGCAAGGGATTAAAAATGAAGGGCAGTTCCTGCTCAGGCACTAGCTTATTGTGACATCAGAAATACGGTGTTATTTCGGTGCTACTAAATTAAGCAGTTTGCCGGCAGGTGTGGCTTTTCTTGCTACATGGCTCATGCACTACTCAAAATTTCTTCCACTTGGACTTGTCGGTACCTTGATGGTATCCAGAGACCATCCATTTTATAATTAATTTTAATTATGCTGTTGGTCTCATTAATTTTAGGTGTAACAGTGATTAGTTATATTTATCTTTAACTCCATAATCTGTGATGGCTAGTGGAAGAAATCAGTCACTTGGTAATTAAGTCGGCATCACATTTTCTCATTGTTGGATAACATACCCATGGTATTTAGAAACTATTGAACATATAATTTTAGTTAATGATAACATATAATTTTAGTTAATGATATTGTGTTTAAATAAACCATATAGGAAAATATCAACTTTCATTTTGGGGGCAGAAAGGCCGGTTTTGGAGATGTTACATTCGGTGTCCTGTGACTGTCTTTTTGTGAAATGTTTCATTTTCATATATATATATTTTTTATTGGAAAATGAGAATCCAATCCAGGTTTACACCTTTTACTGTAATGTAGAAATAAGTGAATATATGGTTTTCCCCATTAGACAGGACCAAGTGTCTGATGAATTAAAATAAAGTTTGTTTTGAAAAATCTTTACATTACTTTTGAGCATAATTATTAGCATCACTCATTTCATGATGAACTGTTTATTTTTAATGGACTTACAGTGACTTACATTTTGTTTTTAAAATAACTTACCTTTTGACTTTCAGGTTGAAGATCAAATATTATGCCAGTCACCTCTGCAGTGTAAAGATCTAAGACATTACATTGGCACATTTAATGAAGAGGAAGCAGACACAACATGGAAGTCAGTCAGCATCAATGAATTGCAAAATGCTGTTATATCTGAGATACAAAAAGAGAATTATTTTGGCTACATGTTCATCAAGTGCTCCAACAGCTCAGGAGCCCTTGAAGATTTCGGACAGCCACAGTATGATGAGGCTTACGCAGATCAGAACTTTGATTCCTACACGCAGCTCTTTGTGCATCCAAAGAAGATCCATGAAAGTCAGGAAAAACCTAAGATAGATAAGAGAAATATCAATATAAATCTAGTCATGATAGACTCTCTGTCGCGTACCCATTTCTACCGTTCTTTACCAAAGACTGTGCGGTTTCTGGATGACCTCTATGATGAGTTACATTCGAAGGTTTTAGATTTCCACTACTTCCAAGCTGTGAAGCAAAGAACTTATGAAAGCCTGCAGGCCTTGTTCTCTGGTTATGTTAATATGACAGAGGTTCCTTTTGGAACATATGATGTGCCAAAGAAGCCTTTGCCTGTCTCAGAATTATTTGGAAAGTACAAGATGAGAGGTTTCAAGACACTTTGGCTTGAGGATTTATGCTGGAGCTGGGAATGGGGTTTGGTGAAGGACTTAAAAGTAA